ATACCACACACACAAATGGTGAACCTCCATGCTTTCTTGAAAATGTTCTTCAATGATCAAATTTATTATGAACTCCCTCTCCTTTACCCACCGCGACGTGGATTATTAAAACGCAAAATGTGACGCATGCTGTCACACTTCGATCTACGCATTTCATTCGGTCAATCCACTGCCATCTTAAAGGTACTCAGTTTTCGTTTTTCTCACTGCACTCATGGGGTGAAGTCTATACCTTAGCTTATATAAAATTAGCGATAGACAAGCAAAAAAGTGTTTACACTTCGAAATTCGCCACTTTCCTTAAAGTGCCACTTGTGAATTGTTTAGCAACTATGGTCATGGTCGGATAAACTTTCTGAAACATACCTGTTAACTGAAAGGTGAAAACATTGGGGTGCCCGATAAGTGGAGAAAATAGGCAACTCCCTGGTACCCATAAATTATGACGTTTTAGACCTCGAACTTAATGCAAACTGTAAAACAGCAGGCAATGGATATGGAAGCTTCTTAACAGCGCTGCCAGGATCGAGGTGAACCAAAAACAAAATAACTATAGTTTTCTCGGATGATCGAAATTGTTCAACACTCCTTAGTGTTAGTCTGTTTTATTTATTGACTTTTTTTTAGCAAAGATAACAGATCATACATTTTGACGGTGATGAAATGAGGGATTCCGCTGCCTGTCGGCCCGTTGGCGGTAATGAATGATCCCAGGTAGCACACCTGAGAAATGGCCAACTTGGGCAAAGGTCTGGCAAACGCAAGGACCCACCTTTGGCCCAGTTAGGTTTTGTACCATGTCGTTCATCGGTGCCGAAATACGCTGCCTAACCATAGACCAAGTTGGGCGATACTAGCGCATGCCAAAGTTTGGCTTCTCTCTGGACCGCCAGAGGAGTGCCGAAGTAGTGCCATATTTGAGCCATAACTACCAGAGCAACACCTAATTTGGGAATTTCGGACATGCCGAAGTTTGGCTTTTCTCCGGCCCGCCAAAAGAGCGCCGAAGTAGTGACATACATCAGCCATAACTGCCAGAGCAACGCCTAATTTGGATATTTCGTACATGCCAATGTTTGACTTTTCTCTGGCCCGCCACTGGAGTACCGAAGTAGTGCCATATTTGAGCCATAACTGCCGGAGCAGCGCCTCACTTGGGTATTTTGGACATCCAAAGTTTGGCTTTTCTCTGGCTCGCCACAGGAGTGCCGAAGTAAGAGCCATACTGGGGCCATAAGTGCCAAAGCAACGCCAAATTTCGGTATTTCGAATAAGCCGAAGTTTGGTTTTTCTCTGGTCCGCCACAGTTGTGCCAAAGTAAGTGCCAGACTTAAGCCATAACTGCAGAAGTAAATGCTAATTTGGACTTTGGGGCATTCCGAAGTTTGGCTCTTCTCTGGCTACCCACTGAAGTGACAAATAAGTGCCGAAAGTGCCAAAGAAAACCCAGAGGCCTATCGAAGTTTGGAATTTCTCGGGTGCGCCACATAAGTGCTCTTCCATGCGCTCCAGAAGAAAATTTAAGTTAGATAGGCGTTGGAAACACGATGGTCAGATCTCACCATCTGCGTTCCCACACAGCGATACTTGACAGTGTAGTGCCAGTACCGGCTGAAAGTCGCTTCCAATATCTGTCAAACGTCTAATTTTGCACCACCGTTCAAACTTCGGCAGGTATTGCCGTACAGTCGTTTTGCCCCGGTCATGGTTTACTGTTACCGTTTCTGAGCTCTCAGTTTCTTTTATGGTTTGCGATTTGGCCTCGTGCATTAACCTTTTTGTCCAAAAAAGAAAATATTTCACTTTAAAGGCCTGTTATGGAATCAACAACCAAATAGACAAAAAACCCACTTGAACCAGTAGTTTCCGGTGAGCTGCGCTGTTTGCTGCGGGGTCAGAGAACTCTACATTAATCACATGGGCACGTGGGGTTTTCAGGTTTCAGATTTTTCTGTTACGAACATTGCTTGGTGTGTATATATATAGAGAGAGAGCAGACGAATGCAGTGTCTCATAGGTGTACATTAACAAGGAGAGGTAAGAGCTGCCTATTTACTACGCAACTAAGCGCGTTTAAAATGTTTCTTTGCAATATTCGATTAGCTCTGTGAACTATCGAAAAAAATTATAAGGCAGATAAAAAAGAAGGTTGTATATCGCCTTGACGATCCTATGAAGGACTTACTAAAGCTGATCAAGCTGTATAATAAGTTATGATAATGCCTTATTGAGCTTGCTTGCCGTTGGGGAGAAGTGTAAACCTACGTTTCTTACGTGTCATGTCAGTGGTTGCAACTAAGCATATAGACTTCAGCAATGGCGGCTCCGCTTTCTGATAATATATCGCTTTTTAAAAAAACAGAATTGGAGCAAATATATAATGCAGCTTTTCTCATAACTGTAGCGAAAATCACTTCACGGTTGTTGCAATATATATATATATATATATATATATACAGGGATGTTCAGTACTTCAAATACAAGTATTTGAAATACGTATTTCAAATACTTCGTGTATTTTGCATTTGTATTTAATCACCAATTGGGTAATGCATTTGACGTGTGTATTTAAATACTAAAACTTGGGTATTTCAAATAAATTTGTAATTGTATACAATTTCGTGGGCGAAAATACATACCTCAAATTGACTTTCATGACTCATTTGGCTCATCCTAAGGCGTCTATAGAGCAGGAAGAAAACTGCGTTCTGCACCGAATGCAGTGTCTCTCAATCAAGCACAAGCGTTTAGTGACTTTGTGATTACGGTGCTAGTCCAGGGCAAGAATAGTGGCGAAATCGACGTTCACAGGGAGACTGGCTAAATAAGTGCCTGTGACAACTTGTGATGCTTTCCAGCCTCATTTTCATTCATATTTTTGCCTGGAACATTCTAAATGCGCGGGTCGTCCAGATTTTCGTGACTGGTGCGAGTTGCGACAATAAAAAATTCTCTAGCTATACTCCGCGACAACTTTTCTTGGCAATGCAGTGGAAGGTACAGGCCCGCGTCCCCTCTCCCATTTTGAATGTACGCAGGCTCTCCTCCTCCCCATTTCCGGGGAGAGGAGGAGAGCCTGCGTACACTCAAAATGGGAGAGCGGACGCGGTCCTGTACCTTCCACTGCATTGCCAAGAAAAGTTGTCGCGGAGTATAGTGCTGCGCGTCCTGGTCGTCTCGGTTCTTTGCTGGTCTATACCAAAATGTAATCGACAAAAAAAGCTGCTTGAAGCTTTGTACTTTTTTCACCTATTACGTCCAAGCTGATTACATTTTTTGTGCTTATATTTCTATTACGTTACTAGAGCCTCGTATACTAACTACCGGGTGTGCGAAGCAAAATTAAAATGAGATACCCAGAAACCCGTTGCAGGTGCCCTGAAGTCACTGACGCAAATTTTGAGGAATGTATTTGGAAAAGTATTTGGAGGAGACCAAATACATTTGGTTGTTTTGTATCTTGTACTTAAGTGCTTTTTTGGCAATGTAATTAGATTTTTAATTAAATACATTTTTGGACGAAGTATTTTGTATTTGTATTTCGATACATATTTGCATGTATTTTGCCTATCCCTGTATATATATATATATACACAAGTCAAAGATGCGTACTGTCGGAGTTACTAATTCGAAGCTTATTACGACGTTTCGAGTGGGGACCGCTCTACATCTAGAGCGGTCCCCGATCGCAACGTCGCAATAAACTTGGAATTAGTAACTCTGAAAGTACGCATCTCTGACTTATTAACTTTTCCCAATCCATTGTTTTTTTATTTACCTTACTTCACCTATATATATATATATATATATATATACACATACAGGGTGTTTGTTTTTTAAGCTTAACAGAATTTTTTTTTCTTTTTTTTTAAACCATGAAAGCTAGATTAATGCGGTCTGCGCAAGTGAGTTATACGGGCAGGGGGATTTAATGTAGGAGCCTAATCGTAACGATGAATCGGCTAATTAGTTAAAATTTGTTAATGAACTTTTTAATTAATGAAAATAGACATATAGGTCCAATTAGAAACTTGCTCAGCGTCATCGAAAAACCACTAAATCAGTAATTTTCAGAAAGATTTTGAGCGCGTGAGAAGCGTGGTAGTGCATTAAAGTTACCACTCGTGGAGCAGGTACAAAGCTAGGGGTTGCGATAAGGCGCCCGCGCGATTTTTCTGTCTCTTATCTAGCCCCAGCCTTGTACCTGCTCCATGAGCGGTAACTTCAGTGCACTACTATGTTTCTCACGCGTTCAAAGTCTTTCTAAAAATGACTGCTTTAGTGGTTTTCGATGACGCTGAGCAAGTTTCTAATTGGAACTATATGTCTATTTTTATTAATTAAAAAGTTAATTAAAATATTTTAACTAATTAGCCGACTTATCGTTACGATTAGCCCCCTATACTATGTCCCCCTGGCCGTATAGCTCACCTGCGCAGACCGCATTAACCTAGCTTTTATGGTTTATTTTTAAAAATTCTCTTAAGCTTAAAAAAACACCCTTTATATATATATATATATATATATATACACCAGCACGCGGCCCTGACGTTACGCAGCTGCGGTGGCGCTGTGGACGGTACGGTGCATGCGCAGACGACGCTTCACTTCACGCGAATTCGGTTTATGCGTACGCGCAGTCGCCATACCTGGTGTGGGCAAACGCAGGCTTGTTTGTAAACAGCATGTAGGTCTCTCTCTCTCTCTCTCTCTCTATATATATATATATATATATATGTGTGTGTGTGTGTGTGTGTGTGTGTGTGTGTGTGTGTGTGTGTGTGTCTGTGTGTGTGTGTGTGTGTAAACAAAAAACCGAGCTTGAAACAAACTTTGATAGCTTTAGAGATATTTTTTAAAATATATATATATATATTAAATAGGATGAGGGGATTTAGTATAATATTGATGATATTTAATAAATCCGAACATTGACCAGTCAACCCTATATTTACGATGGCGCAACGCATGTTTCAGCCTTTTTCAGAACGTTGGAAACGATGCATACCAAACCCTCAATCAACCTACTGGTGTTCCTATGTTCATCGTTTCTCCTCAACGTGTGTGACTCAAGAGGCCGTAATAATCCGACTGAAGAGTTCTACAATGTATGTAAATTGTGTGCATTCTGAATGTGTGTTACGTGTATTAGAAATGCTTATCAATGTACTTCGTCGAAATAAAATTGAAGGTAGACGTATAACATGACTGGGGCGAAGACGGTCTGCTTTATATTCAAAATATGTTTGCTTCAGAATAAAGTGCTGTCTCCCCTTATTACATAGAGTGATATACACATACGATCACCATCCCTGCGTTCTCGTTTTCCCCATAAACTTGTTGAAGCAATTTGTTTGTACCGGGTATACACTGTTATTATAATTAATTTTCCCCAAACAGGAGACCGGACTTTAAACCCAATACTCTTTCACACAAAAGACATATACGCGAACACAACAATTTTAAATGTGTATAAATAAGGCGAGTGTCAAAACTAGTTTATTGACTATATTAAAAAGTCCGATAAGAAAGTTTTTATAGGAGTTAATTGGAGTTATTTTAATCCAAACAGAGTTCAATATTTATTCAAGCAGAGTTCATCCCAATACAATATGAGGTTATTGGTGTTGGGCGACCAGTACATGGAGTACAATATGTCGTATACCCCTCTGCTTATCGAAATGCGCGACGTCTGTTGCATGATACGAAGTTAAAAGTGGACAGATTTGAAAATTTTCTTGCACATATCTCGATCTGCGCACAAGAATATTTATCGATAATAACAAATCCGAGTGCTAAAAATATTTATTCATTGTCTTGGATTAAATCACAAATAGCTTCAAGAAACTAGCGAGCTCGTGTTTTCAGGATCGAGTATCACAGTCTCGGACATTGGCAATCTGGGTCCCGAAAACGACGTATCCTACCGTCTGCTCGTCTCACCCCCCCCCCCCCCCCCCTCCTCCCACGCACGCTCCCACGACAAACCGACAAACCTTTTCGAGTAATTCTCGTAGTACTAACATTCCGTGACGAGGCACGAGACGCTTTCACCCTTCAACAAGATGAACTTCGCGCATGAACTGCCGTGAAAGCGGAACTGCACAACTGAGCGCATTCATCGTACGGTCGTACGTGCCCGATACCGTTGCGAAAAGTGCCAGTACCGGCTGAAAAAATTTCAGCCGGAGCCCCCTCCCCCCCCCCCCCCCCCGTCGTGAAAAAATTTTTACGACGGGGGGGGGGGGGGGGGGGCTCTGCCACTCCTCCTCTCCTGCTCGCCTGCCATTGAGGGGAAAATTTAGCGGGGAAATTTTCCGCTACATTTAGCGGGGAAGTTTTTTCGCTAAGTTTAGCGGGAACATGTTTCCGTTAAATTTAGCGAGAATAATTTTTCCGCTAGATTGAGTGGGGAAAAGTTTTTGCTATATTTACCGGGGAAGTTTACCCCTACCGCGCGGTTACGACGATGCCGACGGCGACGGCGACGCTGACGCCCCTCAAGCAGGAAACGGGTGTCTAGGAGCTGCGCTCTAAAACAACCTGCCACACACACACGCATACGCGTACACATTATTTGTCTGAACTAAACAGATATGTTGTTACACCTCTACATTGATCTCCATTGAAACCTAAATAAAACCAAATCTAGTATATCGCCTTTCCAAATGGTTTAGTAAATTTAACAAAGACGCAGATTTTATTCTTAAGAAGGTGTTTCACACAAAATGAAATCTACCTTTTTTTTACTTTTTGAAACAAAGAAATGGGCCTAAAACTTTAAATTACAGCACGCAAAAAAGAATTAACAAAAGCCCCATGCGCATTTCACAATTTCATAAAGTATATTTTGTGCCGTATACATTGAGGGCGAGACGACGGGACAAGTGGTTTTACAATGCACGGGTATAATCCGAGCTCTTCCTGGGTGCCCGATGGTTATGAAGTGAGTGTTGGGATTTGGTGGCGAGGACGACAGAATGGAAGGAGCTACTGCAACAAACAAGAGGACAGGAGATTGGTTGAAAAGGTCTAGAGAAGCGCAATGCTAAACAAAATAAGTGGGTTAGACGATTTAACCAGTGACAAAAATTAGAGAAAAAATTAAAAGGGTAGGCTGTAAAAATTCGTAGGTTAGGCGGCACAACCCACGACCCCATATAACAGTATTGCCAATATCCTCTAACCATCCATTTTTGCATCATGTTCGCCGTAGAACTGGCTACAGCGACTTGCCAGGATCGTAATGAAGGCTACCCTTATCTCTATATCTGCCCTTTTCACAAGTTTTCCTGCTACAATCATGTCTGGTTACCTACCATTTTCTTTCGAAACAGTGCGTGCGTTACACCTCAGCATGTTGACAGTGTGGCAAGCGTTACGATCTTGAACACAATTCGTTCAATTTCTGTGCAATTGCCCTGAGCGCGTATCATGCAGCATTTTAGAAGACGTTATTTTCACTCGATCTTGCCAACTTTCTGGAATAATATGTATTGCTTAATCCAAACCAACATAGCTTTCGCAAATAATTTTTCTGCGAAGTACAACTCCTGTCTTTCACTCACAATCTTCTTGCCATACTTGACCATGGGTCTTGGGCGGACTGTGTACTCCTCAATTTTTTTAAGCATTCGATAAAGTCAGTCATGACTTATTGCTGTTGAAACTGAGTAAACTTAATGTTGACCCAAACGAACTGAACTGAATTGAAAGTTTCTTGCTTCATCGCTTGCAATGCGTAAATGTCGCTGAGTTCACTTCCTCAATATCTCCCGTTAATTCAGATGTTCTTCAGGGTTAAATTTTAGGTTCATTAAGTTCCCTTATTTATATTAATGACCCTCCAGCCTGCATTTCATCTCCGGCTAGTTTATTTGCAGACGGCTGCGCTATTTACCTAAGAACTCAACGGACGAGATAAGCTTGTTGCAGTCTGACTTAACATTAATAACTAAATGATGTCGTACAAGGCAAATGGAACTAAACATGACTTAGTGCAAATCAATGTGTGTGTCTCGTCGTAATGCTATTTTTTATGCTTACTACCTAAATAACATTTGTTCAGAATCCGTGTTGTTACAAATACTTCGGTATTCCCATAACATCCAAACTTTTGTAAAACATTCCCATGAAGCGTGTCATTAACAATGCTAACCGCATACTCGATTTTCTGAGGAGGAAATGTTAGTCACGTGCCCTTGTGCCATAAACTTCTTCCTTGTAAGTCACTGGTAAGATCACACCTTGAGTATGCAGTTTTGTCTGGGACCCCGGCATGAAATGCGTCACTTCGGCCTTAGAATCAGTTCAAACAAGCCGGCCCGTTTTCTTTAAAATTACCATCGTTATACCATCTAAGATACTTTCATTATAATTACCGAATCCTGGTTTGCGTAAACAGTGTTCCCGTCTATTTCTATTTCGCAAAGTCTATGATCATTTTTTCCTGCGTCATCACCTACTATAATATCCCCTAATATATTTCAGTCATTTAGATCACCAAAACAAGGCTGGGGTTATTCTATGTAACAAATGCGGTTTTTTACCTTTTCAGCCCTCACACTTGTGTAGAACGAGACCGCCTTCCCTACCGAATAGCAACCATCCATGACAAAACTATATTTCAAGATGCTTTTTCTAACTTTTTGTTTTGTTTTAAATCCTGATTGCGTTTTTTTTTTTTCAATACGTTCTTTGCATTGTTTTATTAGTGGCGGTCAGCGAAGGACCAGAACGCCTATGTAAGGTCATGAACATTCTAACCGGACATTGGTTCATAACCTCTTTAAATTGTACAACTAAAGGCCCTAGTTAAATCTCCAACTTTGCTTTTCGTGCAGCATTTGTGCTTTCTAGCACTGGTTACGTAAGCAAAACTCGACAGGCCTGCGAAGACGGAACGACCGGGAGTTGCTTGGGACGCAGGCGCCAATTGATGTTTGTAAACAGTAGAATAGTCTTTTGAGACGAAAGTAGGACTACTATCGGAAGCATGCTGCACATTACTTGCAAATAAAACTGCGACCTCATATGTAATCCGCGATAGATGCATAATCCCCGATCCGGGCAGCACAGAACAATTCGCAAACACAATGTCGAGGATGAAGGCGGTCGCTCACATTAAATGGAAGCCTCGCGGTCGCCGATTAGAAGCTCTCTGTCGTGATTTATGTATAATCTGATTCGGGCAGCACAAAACAACGCAAACACAATGTTTGGGGGTGAAGGCGGTCAATCACACTCAACGGAAGTCTCGCGGCCGCCGATAAGCAGCTTTTTGTCAAAACGTGTCCAACAAACACATCACAATAATTCCATGCACTCCGAAGAAATAAACGGCCATAACCGAAAAGTTGCTATTGATGTATTCCGGCCGTTCACGACGAGAACGCACGACCGCGACTGCAACGCACGAAAAGCAGGAGAACACTGACGGGTGCTTTTTGGAAACCGGACCTACGTGGCCCCAACAACTCACCATAACTTGGCAAACGGCGAAGACTATGACCCCAGTGAGCCCATCAACGCTTCAGAGAGAGTCAGGTGACAAATTTTCGCCCAAGCGTTTTTGTCCTACGGAAAGCGGTCACGCGTTTCGCACCACCCCTCTGATTCGCTAGAAGCGGCTTTCGCACTCGCTCACAGCCACACAAAGACACAAAATAAAGTAAAGACACTTATAAGTAGACGAGTTCAAAGGGGTTGGACAAAGCAGCTATTCTCCCTCAGCTGCTTTGTATGGACCACTCAGGGATGGTCTGAAATAAGACTCGTCAGGACGCTTTGCATCTCAAACTGCCACTGATGTCGAAGCATGCCTGTTCTGGTGCACACCGAGAGATCACAAAATAAATACAAAAAAAAAAGTTCGAACGCCTTCGGAGCGGTCAAAGCTAAGATGCTGAGAGCATGAAACAAGCTATAGTCAGTTACAGGTTAAGAAGGTAGCGGCAAATGCCCCTCAAAGGGAACCAGATATCCCTCCGCCACCTCCGCATCCAATAGCGTCCCACAGTTTCCGTGACGTCGCGGCAAACGCGCGAGGAAGGGCTTGGCTTTCTGTACATATTTGCTTTATTTTTCGACTTTTACTTAGCCTTGTGGAAGGCCCGAGAGGGAGATTAGAGTTCTCCCCCACCGACGGAAACAAATACGACTTTCGGGGATTAGCTTCCCCCCCGATGGATACAAAGGATGCTTTCAGGGGCTCGGTTCCCTCTCTGATGAATACAAAGGTCGCTTTCTTAAAAAGTGGGATCGGAGGCAAGTTGGAATCCATTGAAGCGGAACAAGGAGTGTTTCCAGTGAACTCTTCTTTCGACTGCGGAGAGATTTGAAACGGGCGCATCACGCTTGTGGGTGGAGCTTCTCCTACCTTCTTGACTTGTAACCGACTATACCCGGTTTCACGCGTTGAAAAGAAAAACAGAAAAAAAAAAGCGTCGGGACGCTAGATATTTTGGTGTCACCACGCAGAGATAAGAATCACGTACCCTAGTGGGGGTGTCATGAATGCAGAAATGGACCTTTTTCCAGTAAGCGTCTGCGCACGCGCACACCCTTTTCCCTTGACCTTGACCGCCCTTTCGCCATTCTTGGGGGGCACTGTTTTCTTGCGACACTAATCTGTTTCCATGGGAGAGCACGAGTCCGGTTGCCCTCCATTTGTAGTAGGCGGCGAAACCGTCATGAGGCGCTCCTTACCGGAAAAAGGTCCATTTCACTTATCGTGTGTCATTCTTTCTTCAGAACTACACATAAAGATACAATCTCAGTGAAGGTACAATAAGTCGTGTGAGGTCCAGTCAAGTGAGTTTTACCACCCCAAATTAGGACGCCACAGTTTGTTCAAAGCTTCAGCGCAGGAGGTCTTTCACGAGTTAAAAGTAAGCAGATATTGTTTTGCTTAATCTTGATTTTCTTTTCTTTTTTTGACGTCCGGTTTTAGGCGGTCAAGAAATATAAAAACCTCGCCAGCGTGGCCGATTCAGGCAGGTCACTCTTGAGACTCAACCAAAAACGGCGTCGCGTACGGTATGTCAGGATGTCTTCGGCGCGACCGATCCCGTTCTTCACAGATATTGACTGGACCAAAATGGTATCGGCACAATCTTCCCGATTTTATCTAATAACGGCGCAACACTGTGCGCTTCTTGGGCTGTACATTTACTCGTCTTGGTTCATTTTTTTTTGCGAGCGGAGATGATTTTTACCATCGAAGTTAAACTGATACAACTGATGCACGCGCGACACGTACTTTTCGGCTCCTGTCGGACAGAGAGTTTGATCCCGATTGCAAAAACCATTTTCAAGCACTTCCTAATCATACGCGACTTCGTGTGAGATTAATTATATTCGATGTTTGTACCGCAGCCCATTAGCAGTTTCACCAAAGCAATAAACATGAACGGCTATGAAATCATGGGTGTATTGGACAGCATCACCATTACGGCCTTTTGGCTATCATCTCTGGTGAAAACGTTTTGACAGCTAAGACCTTTGTAGATTGACATTGCTTGGAGTTTGGCGGCTTTAAAAGATCTGCGTAAAATGGAACAAACATTTCAGTTGCATTCGTTTGGTAAGCACGGACTAACAGAAAATAGTTTTTATTTGTATATTTTTCTCCAATGATGGTAAAAGGCTTTCTCAAAAGGCTACAAAATTTTTATTTAATATCAAATAAAGAAAAAAAAACAGCCATTTAGGCGCCACCAGTACGTCTCAGGAATTGTGCCTACGCACGCTGCCATCTACAGACTGACGACAAAACCAACAACCCGTCGCGGTCGGGCAGTACTGACGGAAACTTTCAAAACCGAAGATGCGCGCTGTAAGTCGCATGGTTAGAGGCTGCTATTGGAAAAATATAGACTTCGGTGGGCAGCGTGGGAATCCAGATGATACTTCCCCTCCAGCACGTCACCATTGCATTTCGCCGGGCTTTTTCTGCCCGTGCGGTGAAGTGTCGATAGATGCAGAAAGCTCGCACTGGAGCAACACCACCTAGACAGAAGGCCTCCGCATGGTTTCCTCTTCTTCTATGAAACGTCATCACAGTCGGATCGCGCTCGGTCGGCTATTGGACCCGAGCCCGACCTTCGAGGCGCTGATTGGCCACGAGCCGCAGCCAAACACTGACGCAGCACTCGTGCCCAATCTCTCGCCTCGATCGATCTGACTATGATGACGCGTGTGGAGGCCTTCTGTCTAGGTGGTGTTGACTGGAGGGGGAGCATCTCTTCAGTTCTTGACCTGTCGCCTGTTATAACTATAGAAATCACTACGTTTCGCAGACTCACTAATCGCAGTCTTTTTTTGCAATTTCCGTGGGCTACCGACGTCCAGAATTTCTCGTCGTCGAGTTAAAAGATAAAAATATTTGCATGGTGTATTTGATTGCAATCTTCACGAGACAGAAACCAGTGACTTAACACTCTCTTCAGTAACCCATTGAATCTAGAGTTCGTGCTGGATTTTAATATATTATACACACTTCACATACTTCAGTGTGTTTCTCTTGATTCATAGCTCAACAACAGCAGCATTTTTAGCTTCACATTAAGAACATACTAAAACTTGTCATTGCCAAGTGATCTGCTACTGGTAAAGATTTAAGCCCAGTGCAGTTTTATTGGTCCCAATACAATAACATATTTATTGAATTCCTATACCCGTAATATATAAAATATTGTATTCCAATAAAATTATGATTATTGGGATCCAATACAATAAGTGTTCTTGTGATCCAACACAACGAGCTTTAGTGCGTGGGTTTAGAATTTCTATTGTACGATACAGCATATTGGACTTTTTCAATAGGGAGTAATTAAGGATATGCTTTTTCTTGATAAATTAAAAAAAAAAAGCATAACTGATTTATTTGCCTTAGCTAATAAGGCATATGTAGGGACATCTGCGTTATGACTTTTAAATGCGACAGCATTTGTTTCAGAGAATTCGAAAGAATCCCAGCCCGTGAAAGTGGAGGGATCCTGTCTTTATTCCTAGTGTAAACTCTTCAACTTATTTCCCCTCTTAGAAAAAAATACCATGTGTATTGCATGTAGGTGAAATTTGTTATCATGACAATTTTTTTTGAAACATAAGAATGTAAGCTCGACTTGAGAAATCATGCGGTGTCCTACAATTCAGTACCAGCTGCTCGAGAATTTAACCTGCTTTAATATCATGCATAATTACGTAGTAGAGTCGGTTTCGTAAGAAATTTTTTGTAGATCCTACAATTTGAAAGACAATAATATAGATGCCCGTTCATTGAGATTACCCTCAAACATAAAGTAGTACGATAGTTAACCCGAGCACATAGGTTGATATAGATGTTTTTCCCCTTTTAATTAATTCACTCGGATTGAATATTGTAGCACACGAATAGCATAGCAAACCACGGACAAAGGAGCTAAAGTTTTCAATTTTGTAATGTCACTTTTAAAGGATATTGAAACAAGGCCCATCCTGGTATACCAGTGCTACGCCAACGGAAGCAGCGTTGATCCCCCGGGCACCGTGAATTTTACAGTTCTTTTTGACGGGACCAATTCAACCACATCGGTGGCCTCGGGAACGCTTTGGTCTGCATCAAAGGGAGCTCCAAACTCCTATGTGAGGTGAGTATGAGCGTAGTCGCATTTAAGAAACATGATGCGAGAACAATGCATATTCCGCAGATGAAAACATGAATACCTGTAGTGGGCTCTCCTATGTTATGAGCAGCGCGATCCCGGAGCCTGTGTTCATTAAGTCGTTGTGATGTCGAGTGTTTCACCCCGTCCGAAATGGCCGTGTGAAAACTGCGCTTTACACAGAAATGACATTGGTAGCGTGGTTACCTCTCTCAAAGCAGCCGATTATCAGGTGCATAGCGTTTAGTTTAATTAGCTATTTAATTAGATGGACATAATCAACTTCTAAATGCCCCCGCGCAGTGTTTGCGTTTCAACTTTCTTATCATCCGCAACTGCGTCTGTTGGGCAACTGGAAGCTTTTATCCCCAATCCCGCTTTCCACTCGCTCTAAGTATTTCTAATACTTAGCCGTTTAGCTGTATTTAGTGGCGCTCAAAAATATTTTCATTCGAATTTTATGTTTGATTGTACTAACCAAAAATATATTTATGGAAAACTGGTCAATGACGTAATTATTGGAAAGTTTACTAAAGTTACCCTTTGGCAGTAGATAATATGGTACAAATTGTTTTCTCTGCAAAGCATAATTTTCGAAAAATATGTTAGGCCAATGTTTCGTAAAACAATTTAGCCCGTTATTCCGAGCGGTAATGCTGGGTAGTGAAGATGTGTGTGGAAAATGTTCCACCCAGTTTATTAGGTGGTACCTACGCATCGCTTGTAGTGGCCTCTTCGAACGCCGTTTCCACTCCACGGAAAGTGTCTTGATGTTCATGTTCATGTTGAAGAATATGACGTCCTCGGGAAGTTCGGAAAAAGTTGCTTCAAGTGCGGAGATGTTATGAAAGGCTGTGATCCTTCTCTGACAGTGTTTATCCGGGAAAACAAGGATTGAGACTCCCATGTGTGCTGAAACCAAATCAAACATCGGCGATGGGGACTGCCATGACATCGGACACGTGCGAGCTTCTAAAATATTTCTCGACCTGCCGATGAAGCTGTCATCCAGTGTGAATTTTCTGACCACTGAAATAAGCCTTCTTCGCGTGGATAATAGCGCGCGTTTCATTTCGTTTCATTTATTCACCCTCAGGGCATAACGCATTACAGAGGGGGGTGGCAAACAATGAGTCGCTATGAAAATGATATATGAAATAAACTAGAAACAGTGTAGGAAATCGCGTACCGCCGCCGATTCGCCATTTCCCACGTGGTCCGTCAACAAACCTAGTCCAGTCTGGTTCTTTCACAGGAGCGGGATTCCGCTCCCAGTTCATTGGTACAATAAAACACTCAATCTATAATGCAAATACAAGCTACATTACACAAATATTTACAAACGCACGTTAAGCCCAAAGCTAAACACAAAGAATGCCCCCAGGCCTCGTGTCCCGCGATATCCTAGATCCGGTCGCCACCCACCTGCCTGCGTCTCGGTCTCGTCCGGAGTTCTCAGAGGCCTCTCACCCCCTGCCCCACCGAGGATCTATCGATCGCTGGGCGAGGGGGTTTCTCCTCGCCCGCCGGGTGGATGGATGGATGAATCCGGCTGAGCCCTTTGGATCGGGCGGTAGCTTACGCCACCTAGCCATTTTGTTTTACCATTCAAGCTTAGAGATATTTAAATGTGAAATTTATATTCACTCCGCACTGCAAAGAAAATGAGGCTATAAAAACCCCCTTGTCATCAGGTAATTAGGAAATACCTAGTTTTCTCTCGCTTTCTGCCACCATTCACTTAATCTTTGCTTGACAATCTCTACAGTCTTGAAATCCACTCTCCCTTCGCTGTCTCTAAAACCCAGCGACTTTATTAAATCTATGCTGTCTTCGGTAGGCATAGGGTGCAGCCTTTTAGAGTAGAGTATCAACTGCTCAGCCGTCTCGTCCTTTTATCTACAAGCAGTGCACATTGTATCCATTTCCTGGTACTTCGCTCCCCTATTGAAAATCGCTTTGATGGGACTTCAGGATTTTTTTAAAGGGTGTGAAAGGGACTTCAGGAATTTCTGAGATGTTTGACGGGGGCACCGATATTTCCTGGTGGGTTCACTGGCCCCGTCAGAGGCTCTCCTGAAATGTCTAAAGTCCCCTTTACGATGCCTTGAAATGTCTGAAGGCCTGCCAAGAACTTTTCTAATGGGGTCGGGAAAACCTTCAGGCCTCTTGATATGTCTGTGTGGGCAACGGCCCAGGTGGAAAAAACACATTTCGCAGAATTAATGAACATAGCTGCTTATTGTACGCTACGGGGGAAAAAATAAGTATTTGGAGAATGCCGATCGTGTGTGAGTACGGTCAGATTTTTATTACTGCTCTTCTATCAAATACGAGTGGGCTCCTGGACCCGTCTGTCACTGCCCGGGTGTTCGGTCGCGAAAGAGCTACTGAGTGCGACCGCCCATGTGGAGAATTGACGAGCCGCGGGCCGAGTGGTGTTGACCGAGCGGCGTTTTGAGGCGAACGCAATCCTGTCCGCTCGAGGCGAAATACGTGCAACCATGTATAAAAAAAAAAGAAAAAAAAAAGAACAAGAAAAAAAAAAAAAGAACAAGCCGAGAGCAGTGCGCGCTTTCCAGGAACAGGGACGCACGCGGGAGTGACTCGTTCCGGGAACCGGTCCCCCCACGGGGGACTGTCCCCAAAAAGCAATCGCCTCTCTCCGCCCGGCGATGGGGAGAGGGTGCAGGGCTGCCAGGCCAGCGGTCGGGGGGAGGAGGGTGCTGTGTGCAAGCGGGGGAGGCCATAGCCATTTTCTCTCTGCTCGTGTGCGGTTCCGGTTATCCCCCGAGCCTGGATGTTTGGAGCGGACCAATTTCCTCCAGGAAGGTGAGCATGCATGGTTTTGAGGGCTCGCCCCTTGGTCTGTTTTGATCCGTGCAGTTTCTTTCTTGGTACCGCAGGTGAACCAGAGTTCGGCGCAGGCCGCCTCCAGCACCGCTCGAGCGCCTTTGTGTTCAGCGCATTCAAGGAGATGGTGGCCGGTGTCGGCTTACTCGCTGCAAAGCCTGGCAGTCGGGGTCAGCGTCCCACCGCATGTTGTGCCTGCGCACCGGGATTATGGCACTGTGGGTGTTGAGACGGTGGATGACGGCCGCTGTCCGGACTTGTTCCTTGCGCCTCTTCGTCCACCCGACTTCAGACCAGCGAGCAAAGAATACGCCGAAGACGCCGGCGCGACGTCATCATGGACGAAACCGTGACTGTGCTCGGGATTTCTCAACGGCGGCGGGTGCTGCTTACGAGTTTGTGGTTTTCGCTAAACGTGCTTACTGAGACTGTGTATGTGTCCGTGAGGTGCACCTGCTCGGTTTTATTAGCTGAACTACCGTACATCAGGAATATACCCAGCGGCATTGTGAGTACTTTGAAAGGTATTTTTCTTTGTGATAAGGATGACAGTTGTCCCTGTTTGATGTGATCCCTTTCGTCTACAGCTCCTTGCGCCGGGTTTGAACAAGCGTTGCTTTTTGAGTTATAATATGCATGTAAAACTATATGTCGGCAATAAATTTTCAGTGTTTTGACCTGCATTTTTGTCTATGGTTCACAGACATTTGGGCGTCTAAAGAGTTGATGGGCTAAAGGGCCTGACGCGTTAAAGGGCTGTGGGGCTAAAGGGTTTTTCTATGGGGTATCCTTGAAGGGCTTTTCTGTGGGGTATTTTTGAAGGGTTTTGAAGGCATGTGAGGTCCCATAATCCTTCAAGGCTGACGGGCCCTTTTAGAAATATTTTCAATAGGGTCTGTATTTTCTGGTTCGCAGAACACCCGTCCTCGCCTCAAACAACAATGAGCTTCCCCTAGAATTGTCATAAATGCTTTCTTTGGCAATAACTGTTTTGTTTAATCTATAGCTTTCCAGAGAAGTCTTCGTCTGCAATCCCTCTAGCCACCGATCTCTTTCTGTGGCCTTAACTTTCTTTTTAACTGAGACTTGCCCTTCCGTATCTCCACTATAGCCTAAAAACTTTCCTCTTAATTTCCTAGTGCGCTGTCTCCACTTTGTGTCTATACTCCTCATGTATAAATAGCTGAACACCTTTCGTGCTCATTGTTTCCCATCCATTTGCCTCAACCGATCCTCAAATTCTATCTTGCTCCCTGCTTCCCTGCTTTCAAATAAGGCCCATCCCATGTCTACTTGTACTCCCTGGTTTGGCGTTTTGCAATGTGCCCCCAAAGCCAGCCCACCTACTCCGCGCTGTTTTACTTCTAGTCCTGCATGCACTTCGGATTTCATGCACAGCACTGCGTTTCCAAAAGTCAAGCCAGGCACCATGACCCCTTTCCAAATCTCTCTTACCACCTCATACCTGTTGTAATTCCAAAGTGCTCTATTTTTCATTATAGCTGCATTTCTGTTGCCCTTACCTATTATATACTTTTCATGCTCACTGAGATATTGTGCACCATCACATATCCGTACTCCTAGATACTTGTATTTACTAGCTCTCGCAACTGTAATATTCTGTATCTTCAGCCTCTCAACTTCATCACCATTAAAAATCATGACTGCTGATTTTTCACTACTGAATTCTAAACCTAATTCCTCTCCTTCCCTACCACAGATGCTCATTAATTCCTGCAAATCTGTCCTGTTGTTAGCCATTAGTACGATATCATCCGCATACATCAATCCCGGTAAGGGTTGCTGAATTTTTTGGCCTAGCTTACTGTACGAAAGGTCGAATCCAAGCCGACTCTTCTATAGTTTATCCTCCATTCCTCTCAGATCCAACATAAACAGCAAAGGCGATAACGGGCGCCCCTGCCTAAGGCCTTGTCTTATGTCTACTTTCTCTGTCGCCTTTCCTTCCCATGTTAGAATCACCTAACTATCTTTGTAAATGTTCCTTAATAGTGCTGTTAGTCCTTCATCTAGGTTTAAGCTTTCCACTATGTCTCACAGGTTTCTTTGGTTCACATTGTCATAGGCACCCTTGATATCCAGAAATGCCAGCCTGTCTGTTTTCTTTTTGC